GACATCTTACTGGAATGATTCCTATTGGCTTGAAATCCTATTGGATTTATTTCAAATTCTGGTAATTGGACCCTGCTGATGGTGAGCTGGGTTACCAAATGTCTCACATCTACTTGATTAGGACCCTCTACTTAGCAATGGCCTATGCAGAGGGTGCTTTCCCCCAGAAGTGCTTATCTCAGAGTTAGCTGAGATTGCTGAGACCGGATGTTCATCCAACACAAGCCATTCTGGGCTGGGGTGTCTGGTGAATATTCTGTCCGGGATGGGCTTTCCTGCAAAAATGGGCAGACCTGAAAAAGATGGTTTCTGAGGGAGCTGAGAGGAAAGACGACAGAGCAGAGGGAAGACCAGGCCAGCATCTCAGAACAGGACCCATCCAGACAAGGCTGCTGCTCCCCTCAATCTCAGATGAGGGACAGGAGATTGAAGGTGACTTCAGGGAACAATGAGAACCAGAGAAATGAGGCCCCTTGTGTCTCGGCTTTATCAACACCCACACCCCACTGGCATCACCTTTTATCACCACGACATTAACAGTTGTGCCAAGCAAACCAGTATCCCAGTTGTCACCTTTACTTCCTGAACCCCCTCTTGTCCTTTTCATTTGATGAACAGACATCACCCCGTGTGTGTGTGTGTGTGTGCGTGCACGCAGGTGTGTGTTACTGGGAATCAAACCCTGGGCCTTCACACTGAGTTACATCCCCAGCCCTTTTCTTAATTTCTTAATTTTGAGACAAGGTCTTACTAAATTGCCCAGGCTGGGCTTCAACTTACGATACTTCTGCCTTGGCCTCCCAGAGTGCTGGGATTACAGATGTGCACCTCCACACCCAGCTAACAGACACATTCTTAATCTAAATTACATCTCCTGTGATAATATTGACTGATGTACATTTCAGTTGCTGCATAAAAGCCATCCAAAACCTCAGGGGCTTGTGCTAGGAACCTTCCATCCTATTTCATGGTCTGCAGCGTGTCTGGGATTGACTGCCTGCCTCTCTCCTGGGGCAGCTCATGTGGCTGCAGTCGGAAGAGCTCACCTGGGTGCAGTGTCTGAGCTGGTTCATTCCCAACTGTCGTGTCTGATCTCAGGGGCCATGGACAGAGCCCCTGCATGTGGCCTTTCCTTCAGCCTGGGCTTCTCACAGCCTTCTGTCTCCAGAAGACCCAGATAAAAGCCACCAAGCTGCTTATAGCCTAGCCTCTCTGACCCCCACCCCCAATTTCCCTTTGGCTCCATCCCATTGGTCTAATAGCCATGAAGGCCAACCCAGAGTCCAGGCTCCGAAGGACTCCTTGGATTCCTGTACCTAGAGGGCAGTGCCTCTCACTGAGTATCTAGGCTGCACTGCCACTAACAGAGTGGGTCATGGCCTTTAGCTTCACATCGGCTCCCATCCCACAGCAAGCCATTTTCACCAAGACTGACTGGCAGGATGTGTTAGACTTCTGGCGACTTGCTTTGGGGGGCAGGCCTACAGTCATGTCAGGTTCCCAGTCCCCACCCTGCCTGCTCCCCCAGGCCCTCCTAAGTTGGAGTCCCAGCATGCCTTGCAATGGAATACGGAGGAATGACACCCCCAGGGCTAAGTTCAATGGAAATAATGATGACTGACACAAAAGTCCTGGAGTTTGATAACAGATTATGACATCTTGAGTCCTATCAGAGGAAAGGATAACAATAAGTGGGAGCTGGTGATCCATCCCTTAAAGATATTAGTACTGGGGGCAGACAGGAAGTGAGGGTAACAGGATCCAGAGGAAAACTTACACAAGTTGTCAGGAACCAGAAATAGGAGACAGAACCTATAGGCTAGGAGCAGGTAAGTGACAGACTGAGTGGGAGATGGGGTGCAAAGGTGGCAGATGGCATTAGGTGACAAGGCATGTGAAATGCCTCGTACCAGGCACTGAACATGGAACAAGAAGATGGCCAGGCCAGTCTAAGCGCATGGCCAGGACAAACGACTCCACCAGGCCTGTGTTGAGGGAAAGGGTTGAGCTGATTCCACACAGGCTGGATGAATTCTGAAGCATGGGAATAGGAGCCTCCACATTCCCCATGAGATGGAAGGCCCCCCACGCGCCATCGGGCACTTTCCAAATGCAGCCCGGGAAGCCGTGGCTGTGGCTATAACAAAGCCAGCCATGCCCCCAGATAAGCCTTTTTATAAGGTTGGTTGCTCCAATTTGTCACATAATTTATTGCTCAGCACACATCGATAATACGATTGTCAGCCTGGCAGATATTTCCCATGTTAATAGTTTGCATGAGATACCACATTATTGATCCTATGCCACTAAATAAAAAACTCGTTTGTCAGGGGAACACAGAATAGCTTTTAATGGACACAGCCAAACACCTGCTACTAGTTAGGGAAGAAAAATAACCACCCTGCCACTAGGACATTTGGAAGCTCAGTCTGGGGTTTAGCAGGCCCCTTGGGAAAAACAGTAGCTTTTCCAAACGTCCAAAGGCCAAGACTCCCAGCAAGACTAGAAGAGCTGCCACTGACCAGGCGTTTTTATTTTCTGTCCTTTGTCTTACATCCTCCACCTGGCGGTGCAGTAATGCATGGGTTAACAGTCTGGGAAGCAAGGCATGGAATATCTGGCATCAGCTACTAACTTAGTGGAGTCTTACGGCAGATGGGTCCAGGCCTGGCACCACTGATCACTGAATTTAGGGCTCTGAGTTACTATCTCTGCCATCCTCTCACTTTTTCCCACATGGCTGAAAGAGATCTGCCAGTTAGCAATCAGTGACATCCTCCATTTTCAGAAGAGGGCATCTGAGGAAGCAGGAGTGTTATGGTTTGGATCTAAGGAGCCCCCCAGAAGGCTTGTGTGTAGAAGGCTTGGTCCCCAGTGCAGCAGTGTTCAGAGGTGGGTCCTAGAGCAGTGATTGGATCATCATGGCACTCACTTCCTCCATGGATTGATCCACCAATGGATTCACAGCTGAAGGGGTTGCCAGGAGACAGGGCCCAGCTGAAGTAAACAGGTGACCAAGAGAGTGCCTTTGAAGGGTGCATCTTGTCCCTGTCCCTTTCTGTATACCTCTCTCACCATTTCTGTTTCCTGTTTGCCATGAAGTAAGCATCTTCCCTCCGCCACACCCTTTCGCCATGATGTTTCTGCCTCCTCACAAGCCTAAGACTTTTTTGTCATGCTTGACACCATTGCTTTATCAAATGCACCAGGGGTCCTCAGCCCTCGGGTCAGGAACCAGTCCTGGTCTGTGGCCTATTAGAACTGGCTGTACCGCAGATGAGTGAAGCTTCCTCGGTGCTCCCAAGAAACGCTGGCCAGGAATTGGGTGGGAAGTGGGGTTATGGTGTCAGGATGACTCAAAGGAGCATGCACTGTAGATCCCTCAAGTACCGGGGTCACAGCAGGGTCACATGCCTATGAGAATCTAATTGCTGCTGGTCTGACAGGAGGTGGAACTCAGGTGGTGACTGGAGGCATGGGGAGCAGCTGGGAATACTGAGTTTCATTATGTTGTTGCACAGGCTTTCAGCAATTCATTCATTTTGATTGCTGAGTAGTATCTGGCTGGGTGGTTCTGTGGCCTAAATGCTTACACCACTCCAAAATGCACCTAGCTTCCAAGGGATGTTGTTAGGAGGTCAAGCTCTGGAGGGGGGTGATGAGGTTGTGAGTGTTGTGCCTTCATGCATGGGGTGAGTGCCCTTTTTTATAAAACCTTCTGAAAGAGCCTGTGCACCCTTCCTATGCATGAAAGGACACAGCAGACACTGTCTACAAGACAAACCTCACCAGATACCAAAGAGGGTGACACCTGTCTCTTGGACTGTGAGCCGTAAATCTCCATTATGCATAAATGAACCAGTCTACAGTGTTTTGTTAAAACGGCCTCAAAGCCTAAGGCACTGACACGTTTGTGGGAGCTGCAGATGGCAGAGCACAGGAGTGGCCAGCTGAGGCAGGTCACACCCACGAGCTTGACTACCAGTGCACCCGTCCCACAGATTTGTGCAGGAATGTGCGGGCCTTATCGCTCTGCATCTGTTTTTTTGGCCAGAGTCACCAAAGCATGAGGGGCAGGGAGGGAAGGCAGGAGAATGGTGCAAGGTGTGGAGAGTGATAGCAAAAATTCCCTGAGCTCTTCCAGCAAAGGCAGGCCTTGTGTGCTGCTCCTTCCCACATGCAGCTCATTACGAGTAACCTTAAGGATCACAGATGCCTCCCAGTTGGAGATTTGGGGAATCCTTCTAGTTTCTCACACTCACAAGGCCTTGGCTCATCTGGGAAGGCGAGGGCAGGGCTCAGCCCATGAAAGGATCTGGTAGCCTGGAGAGTCTCAAAGTATGGTCCTCAGGCAGCAGCACCAGAATCACCTCAGAACTTGTCAAAAATGCCAATTTTCTCACCTCACCCAGAACAAGTGAATCAGAGACTCCGGGATGGGGGTGAGCAATCAGGTTTGCACAAGTCTTCCAAGGGCCTCTGGTGCACACTCAAATCTGAGGACTGTTGGTGGTGTCTGAGAGGGTAAAAGACCATCCCTAGGTGTCCCAAAGACTTAAAACTATTTGTGTCCCCCAAGGCAGCCATGACAAAGGCACAGGACAGTCCGACTCAATGCATCCTCCCTGGGCCAGACTGATCCCCATGGTGAAGGCCACGTATCCAGGCACAGAAGCTTCTAAGGAGGGTCGGCCTGGGTAGAAGAGCAGAGTCCCTGGAGCTGCAGCCAGGCCACTGGCACTTCAGCGAGGGCTCCTTAGGATGGACCAGCAGACATGGGGTGTTCTGCACTCACACCAAGGTGACAGGAGCCAAATTAGGAGCCACAGTGGGCCACCGATGCTCACCCTTTGCTGAACACTGATCTGTCCAACATCCTGACCAGTGACAGGGCCAGAGAGCTGAGCACTGCGCAGGGCATAGAAAACTTACCCAACAAATTAAGTGAAACGGCCCAGAGGCTGCTTAGAAAGGGAAATGCGCCACATTCTATTGCTCACCTAGACACAATGAGACTGCACTTGACTGACTCCACCCCAGGTGCCAAGCGCTGGGCTGTCTTTATCCTCTCACAGTATCTCCATGTGGCCATAAAATCTTCAGCACTGTAGAGGACATCAATTATCACTGTAACCATCATACAGATAAGGTAACTGAGGCAGGGCGTGCTTAAAGGATCTGTCCACTCTGAGAGGCTAAGTCAGGAGAATCATAAATTCAAACCCAGCTCAAGCAACTTAGTAACCTATCCAGACCTGTCTCAATTTTTTTAAAAAAGAAAAAAAAACAGAAAACTAAAAGGCTGGGGATGTATGAAGGCCCTGGCTTCAATCCCCAGCATTGAAAAAAAAATTATTCAAAGTCACACAAATAGAAAATGTGGAAGAGAAAATTTGAGTCTAAGTGGATCTGTGACACCAATCCTGCCATTCCCAGGCCTCCTTTAAATAAAAATTAAATGCACAGGTTTGAGTGAAAGAACATGTGTGCGTGTGGAGAAGGCTGCCTCTCTAGAACCCTGGACAAGGTAGGGAAGCAATAAGTACAACTGACCCAGAGCCCAGGTAGTGCCAGCTCAGACCAGGTCGACCAGATGACTGGTGCAAAGTCATGGGCAAGCAGGGTCTGGGCTCATTTAGGTGTGATGGGTAAGCAGCACTACATACGTAGCGTGCAGTACACAAGGACAACCAGGGCAAAGGAGGACACCCGCCTCATCCGTCAAGTCATCTAAAGTATGATTAGATTCAGCATGTATCCAGAGAAGGAAGCACCACCCCTCTGTGCCGTTTGGGACTTCTGATCAGAATGAGCTATTCAACCTTTGAGCAACTATTTAAATATTCAGTGCTTTGCATGCATAACTGGATCTGGAATGTAATCAGAATCATGGGAATGTGGAGTTTTGGAGTCCAAGAGACCTCAGAGGCCCTAGAATTCAATCCCTCACCTTTCGCAGATGAGGAGATGGGAGGCTGGATGCTCTGTTCTTTCTCACAGGCTCCCGGAGGAAAGCTCAGTGTCCCTGATTCCTAGTTATGTCTCCTTCAGAGAACAGGGCTGAGAGGGCTGAGTCCCTGCCCTGTTTGGTCTGATGCAGTCATCTGAGATTTGCCAAATAGATGTCCATGCCACAAACTACCCAGCTATGCTTCTATTCTCAAGAATTTATAAGATACTCCAGGAATGAAATCATGGAACCATGGAACCATATAATACTTAATTTTTACAACTTAGCAACCCAGAATATGTAACAAAACATAAACCGCTTACCCAACTTCTCATTTCTCAAGTACCTCTTGCTACATATTTTAATAAATCAATCATTCCTTTCCATTTCTCTATATTTCTGTTCCTGCAACTTGTCATGTACAAGGAGAAATGGATTGCTGGCTGAAATTCAACAACTATAACCATGACAAAGAAGTAGAGGAAAAACAAAGCTTGTTATTTCTCAGTGCTTTCTAGCTCACAAATGCTCAACATTTTGACTGGAGGGGCTGTACGTGTGCTTGAAAAACAGACACGTGGGCTTGCTGATTAAGTTAGTCGAGAAAAATGTTGATTTGTGGCGGCTGATGTGCAGCAACTGCACTTTAAAAGGTGCCACGGAGACTTTGAGGACAATAATAATAACGATGCCCCATGCTATTTTGCTGGGGCCAAGTGGACACCCATGTAGGCCAGACGGGAGTAGAAACTGGCCCACTGCTCATGGCTCCTCCACAGTCAGCAATGCAGCAGCCTTATATCTCCACAGTGCTCACTTCCGGCCTCGCTATGCCATTTCGTAAGGACCCCATGGTCACACTGTGTATCTGTGCAACCTAAAGTCATCTCTTCCTCCCGAGCTCCTTAGCGAATCGTATTTGCAAAGTGCCATTTGCCATTTGACGAGAGGCTTCCAGGCATCTCTAGAACGTGGGCATCGCTATGCTGCTACCACAGTTCTTAACCTACCACCCCTGCCTCCTCACCTGTAACATGGGTTTGGTAACACGGCGTCTGCTTCTCAGAGCTATCACCCAGGATTCCATGACTTGCCTCTTCTCAAGGGCTTACATTACTATCTGCCACATGGTAAAAACTCAAAGCTGTGCCTACTTCTAACTGCCAATCTGGACAAATTTGGTAAGATTTCCTCCTCCTCGTCCTCCTCTTCTTTCTCTTCCTCCAGATTCTTCAGGATGGTAATTTTTCAAACTTTCTCAACTGTGACCTTCAGCAAAAAAATACACTTTGCACCAAGACCCAGTATAGCCAAAGGTTTATATACTTATATAATAAATGTTTCACAAGCAAATCATAACCCCATATGTGTAAGGCATTCCAGTACATTCCTTTCTTTGTCTGCTTCATGTTTTAATGTAATGAAATAAACTGGCAGAGAACTTGTCCAGACTTACATCTTGATAACTGCTATGGTTTAGATGCTCTGTTTTCCCAAAAGGTTCATGCGCTGGGAGCTTGGTCCTAATAGTGGCAACGCTGGGGATGGAACCTTCCAGAGGTGGGACTTAGTGGGAAGTCTGTAGTTCCGTGGTGGGCCCTCAGAAAAGATTATGGATCTAGGTATGCTGGTGCATGCCTATAATCTCAGCCCTCTAGATGGCTGAGGCAGGAGGATTACAAGTTTGAGCCGAGCCTGGACAATTTAGCAACTTAGCAAGATCCTGTCTCAAAATTTTTAAATAAATAAATAAATTGAAAGGGTCTGGGAATGTAGCTCAGTGTGGACCCCCTGGGTTCAATCCCCAGTACTGCAAAAAGAGGGAGGGGAGGAAGGAAGGAAGGAGAGAAGATGGGATCCTGGGCTCTCTCTGTCTTCCTGTTTTGTTCTGTAACCTCTCCTGTAATACATGCTCCTGCCATTGTGAGAGCTATGCTGTTTGAATTGTGAGTATCTAAAATTGCAAGCTTCTGGGAATTTAACTCAGTGTTTCCGGTGCCTGCCTTGCAAGCACAAGGACCTGAGTTCAATCCCTAGTACCAAAAATTAAAAACAGGTAAAATTACAAGCTACACAAACCTCTTTTCTTTTTAACATTAGCTTTCCTTGGGTATTTGCTACGGCCTATAGCTAGATGTCCTCCCAAAACCTCGTGCACTCATAGGTGGGGCTTTTTGAGGTGGCTGGATATAGGGTGTGTGTTGTGGCACTAAGGATGTGATGCTGGGTTTAATAGTGCAATGCTGAGATTAAGGGTGCCCCACTCCAAGTGTGAGTGCTACCTGTGCTGCCATGGACTGTTTCTCCTCTGTGATGCCCCTCTGCTATGCTTCCCTGCCTTGAAGCCAACCAGATGGGGACTGAAACTTCTACAAATTGTGAGATACAATAAACCTTTCCTCCTTTAACTTGTGGGTGTTGAGTATTTTATCTCAGCAATAAGAAAAGGAACTAAGACAGTATTTCATTATAATAATGAAAAATGGACAATTGCAACATCTAAATGCAATACCTTTCCTGTTGCCCACCTGCTTGCAAACAACCAGCAGCAGCTGTACAAAGGCACGGAAACCTCACTGTTTCCCCACCATGTACTGCTGTACTGAGGTTGTATAGACTGAAAGCAGAGAGCTGAAAAACATCAGTCGTAACTCCTGTTTCTGACTTCTGCTTTGTGCGTCAGTGTTGGAAATTTTATCATCTCTGTATGGCTGTAGGGAGGCCGACAAGCTTTAATTTGTAAATCTTCTTGTGTTAACGGTGCAGCGCACCTAAGCACCCTCCTCTCCTTACTTGTTACCGCCAGGAGTTGCCACTGGCTTATCTGCTTCAACAAGGCTTCTGTGACAACCTCTCCTGTCCATGCATAACCACATCGGGGGGCAGACTGTCACTCAACGTGACAAACTGACAAGACAGGACTGTCAATCTCTGAGGCGGATGAGGGACCACAGTGAGTGACAAGATCTAAGGGTCACTGGGAATCTGACGGTTCACGTGCTCCACGCTGACAGCTGAAAACACTTTCCCTGGATGGTTCAAAGCCTATACATTTGTCACCTTGGCCAGCCTGAGAAGTATGTAAAGGTGACTGACAAACTTATGTATTTCACTGGAAGATGACAGGCTGCCAAGGCTTGTGAAGCGTCTTTCTGGGGCCCCTGGTGAACTGGCCACCGGTAGCTGCCAGGGGGTCACATGGCGAGATCTGTCTGAGTCAAGACATGTGGGCTGTTGGATCTGAATGGACCCTGATGTGCCCTTGAACCCCAACTCCATAAAGGGAAATTAACCAGAAGTTGAGACCTTAGAATCAACAGACACAATCAGCCATCACTGTTGACTTGGGGGTTACTTGCAGGTACTTTATGTCACAAATGTTGTTGGTCTTCCTCAACTCTGGCCACACATAAGAACCTTCTAGGAGCTTTTAAGAGGTAACCAAGTTTGGCTGGGCCTGGAGATTCTGATTCTATTGGTCTGGGGAAAGGGTCTGGAATTCAGTATTTGTTTCAGCCCCCAGGAGATGGAGGTGTACAAATTGGGACTAAGAAGCTACTGGAGCCTGGTATCCTACATCAAATCCTGACATCACCACTTCTTAGAAATGCAATATTGAGCAAGTTATTTAATATTGGTGAGCCTCAGTTTCCTGGTATGTAACAATGGGAGTGTGGGTAATAATAGCTACCTCATTGGATTGAGGCAGGAAGAAGAGAGAAATTCCTGGAAAGGGTCCTAAAGTAAAGAAGGTAAAAGAAGAAGCCAGCTCTCCAAAACCAGAGGGAGCATCTGGTTTGGGTAAGGACAAGGGAGAACATAGGTATAGGATTCCATATAAGATTTGGGGAAACTGAAACCACAAAGCAGCACATCCGTCTCTAAGAACTGGGCCACAGCTGGGGATGCGTGTGCTATAGAATATCTTGAAAACCCACAAGTCACCCCCACTTACTTATAATTAATTATAATCTCATTTCCATTGTAGTCCCCCCACCATAGGCTTCGGGCACCTTGACAGTTCCACAAAGGTCCACAGGAGGACAAAACTCCCTCCTTCTACAGAAAGGAGGAGACTTGTGCCTGATCGGAGTGAGTCACTGTGTCAGGTCAGAGAGCTCCTCCCTCCCCATACACAGCCCATGCAGACTCTGATGCCTTTCTTTTCCTGGCCCACTCCCACCCTGCAGAGTGTACTGATCTTTGATCTTTACTAATAAGTCTGTGCTCTCACTTCTGTGTGTCCTGCACAATACTCTGGTTCACGAGCCAAGAAACTAGAACTATCACAACCCATGAGAACAGGACAATTATAAGATTTAAATCCATAATAGAATACAAGGTCCTGCATGTATTACCTGATAGAAACTACAGGATCACTAGATAGTAGCTAGTTCCTATACTTAAAAAGATTCAAAGAGAGGCCAGGGATATGGCTCAGGGGTAGAATGCTTACCTGTATATGCAAGGCCCTGAATTCAAATCCCAGTACCATAAAAACAAAAAACCTCTAGCAGTTGAAGGGAGAGCAGGGGAATGGGGAAAAAAAGAACCAAGATGGATTATGTAAAGGTGTAAATTTCCAATGATGAATGTCATTATATTGTATACCTTAAATGTATCAATAAAATTAATTTTTCAAAAAAAAGCCTCGAACATGAGACTTGAACAAATCAGGCAGCACCAAGCTTCTTTCCAGGGTCTTCTTTCTAACACTTTACAGTGGTACCTGGGTTCACAAGCTTCACTCATTCCCCTTTCCTGGGGAAGAGCTATATTCATGTTTATTCAGGGAAGATATTCTTCAATCATGTTCTTCACCTGAGGGAGAGTTCATGGATGGAAGGAAAATTTTGCTGGATGCTTCTATTCATGAGCAACTGGAAGACTATTTCATTTTGCTTCAGCTTACTTAATACTTGCAATGTTCTCATTTTACTGATGAAAAAAAATTGAGGTTCAGGGAAGTTAACCCACACAAGATCAGATCTTGGGGAACATTCAAGAACTGAGCTCCACAGCTCATGCTTTCTTCTCAATCCCTCAGAGTCCCCAGGAGGCCTTTGACTGGTTTTAAGGAAAGTGCTGCTGATGGTGGAAGGTAAGAACACCTGCCTGAGAGTCACAGATAGGAGAGGATAACTCTAGGTCCTTTGTGCCCACTGTCTACAACTCTGTGGCAGTAGTGCTTCTCTGGGAGACACACAAGCCAGCCTGGGGAAAGGACCACAAATGTACAAGATCCTGGGGCCAGCAGACCTGGGGATCCGGATGGCAACTGTAGAGACACAAATGTGTATCTCCACCGAAGACCCTCACAATCTTAAGTGTGTGATGTTGGACACTGAAGACTCTGAAGGCCGCAATATAAGAGATTATATGGCATCCATGACCCATTTCTTCAACAAATAAACTGCAAGAAAAACAAAAAGGAGGGAGGAACAAAATGGTAACTGAAAATAAATTACCTTAATCCATTTTCTGTGCTATCACAAAATATCTGAAGCTAAGTAATTTATAAAGGAAAGAATGTAATTTGGTTCATAGATTTGGAGGCTGGGAAGTAAGAGCACAGTGCCAACATCTTCTTGGCATTTGGCAAGGTCATCTTGCTTCACCATAGCAAGGTGATGGGCTTCATATGGCAAGAAGGAGCAAGCATACCAGCTCAGGTCTCTCTTCTTCTTATAAAGCCCATGTGTTAGCCAGCTTTCTGTGACTGCAACAAAATACCTCAGATGATCAACTTATGAAGAGGAAAGGTTTATTTTGGCTCACGGTCTTGGAGGTTTCAGTTTAAGATTGGCTGCACCTATTGCTTTTAAGGCCTCTGTTAGGGGTGCAGCACATCGTGGGACATTTTAGATCCAAGGGTATCACTCTCATGACCTCATCTAATCCTAATCACCTCCCGATTGACCCCCTCCAAATCCCATTGATGTATGACCTTGGGATTAAGTTTCCCATACATCAACTTTGGGAAGACACATTCAAACCACAGTAATAACAAATGTAATGTGTGAGCTTAACCGGATCCTGACTCAAACTCACACACACAGTAATCTGGGAATTTGGGGTGCTGACCAAACATCGAATAAACCAATGATTCCATCTGCCCACTACATTGCACACTAGTCAACAGAGAGAGAAGGAGGTAACTCACAGATTAGAATTATTATAGAACAAAGATAAGAGGTCCTACGAGTTCCAAATAAGATATTTCGGTGTTCCATG